AAGTACTCACGACTATTGCCCTAGCCTCCAAGCGGATTTATCCAGTAATCAAAAAAAAAAAAAGTTAACGTTTTAAAAAAAATGTCGAGTTATTAGAAAACATATTTTAGCAAATGGATATATTGATATAACCTTTTCAATAACGTCGTATACTTGGTCTTAGAGATTTTGCCGAGAGGGTTGATATTGGATGAAAGGGGGAAATAAAACCGATCGTGGTCTGTCCTCCCGAGACTGGCTAAGGAAGGATTTTGTGCGGTCGACCGTGTAAGAAAGCTAAAAGCCATCGGTCTATCGACCTCGATGACCGTCTTGGTCTTGGTCGCGACCTCTAACCTCTCTCTTATTTTATTTTTATACAAATAAATATTTTTAATACTTTCTGTAATATTTTTTTGATTAAAAAGTTTTTTAATATTATTAACTAAAATATTTTATTATTAATTATTTTAACGTAAAATATTTTTTCATTTGACTTTTAGTCATTACTTCAAACAACTACTGATTATAATTTTATTATATATCATAATACGATACTCAGATCAAAGACATAATATTTTTGATTAAGACTTAAAATTTTTTATTATATTATGCTTCAAAATTTTTTTTTTCAAGATGATTTTTGTTTCTAATCAGTAAAAATTATTTCAAAAAATAAAATTATGATATCTTTTACATAAAAATTAAATGACTAACAACCAAATCCAAAAATTCTTAATACATATTCAGTTAAAAATTTATAATTTATGCGCAAAAAAATTATACTTTACTTTAGCATAATGTAAAATAAAGGGTTATTATGAGTAGCAAAATTAATCTTATGTCTTATCTTAAGATTTGTACAAGAATTTAAAAGGGGGTAGTAGACTGGCCGACACAGAGTCTTGTAAAATCTTAATACTGTCTTAAGCCCCTCTCGCGCGACATAAATTATGTATCGTCCGGGCGCATAAGACGTTTGGATCCCGAAAGCACCTGGTATACCAGCAACTCAACTCTTCCACTCAGTACTACCACTATAGCACTACAACTACAACTTCAACTATCGCTAGTCTGTTTATTCACTAGTCGAGAACGCACGTTATCCTCTCGCAAAATTCATCTTCTCTAGCTCTGTTTCTGTTTAGTTGGTTGTTGTTGTTGTTGGTGCAGGTTCATTGTTGTGGACGGAAAATCCTCCACACTCTCTTATACTCAGACAATCCAAGTATATAAAGTGAGGTCCCTAAATTTTCTCAAAGTCTATAAGGGTTAAGGAATTAACCCGAGTCGTGAAGACACGATGAATAAGAGGGTGAAACGAAGACAACGAGTATAAGGTATAAGGTATACGGTAGTCTTGAGCTCTGTGGTACGAGTAAGGGTATAAGCTTAATAACCCTCGATTCAGACTTTATTCCAGGGTAAAGTCCAGAGTCCAGAGCACCAAGTTCCGTGTGCTTGACAGAGAAAAAATAAATGACAGATAAAGACCCTTGGTGAAAGCCATTACAAGGATTTCTTTTATTTACGCCAGCGAAAAATACCCCAAGAGACTTGTTACTTATTCTTTCTCGTTTACTTTACTCACTGTGTATTATATCTGGTCTTCTAAAGACACCGTGTCCACTCATACTAAAGTTATTGACTTAAACTCGAGAGGCTAAATACCGTGATCTCGAATGCTCAGTAATCTTTGTGATACCACGATAGATCTTGCCAAACGATCCAGATAAAAGTATCCTCGATGGATTTCCGACAGCATTATATACTTACTAGATAAGTTAATTCCTTGGAACGACCAGCAAACACCAGCTCGTATATCAATTAAGCCGTGATTGCGGATAAATACCGAGGGCTCGCAAAATATTATATCATTTTTTTACGGGTCATTTATTTTTTTAATTAATATATTGTTGTGCTTTCTTTATCGTATAATCCGCCTGTAATATACTGGAATTTTAATCTTAATGTTTTTTTTTTTTTTTTTTTTTTTTTTTATTCATGAGAATTTATTAAAACGGAATTTACTTGGAATAAGCGAGATAATTTATCAGAGATAATGTTAACTACGAAATAAAATAAAAAAAATGAATTTTCATAAAAAATGTTTTGAATTTTTGATTAAAAAAAATTTTTATAGCAACGATGATAGAACAATTAATTTAAAAAATAATAAAAAAGTAAATTTTGTAGAGAACCATTTTGAAAAAATAAGTAAGGATTAAAGAATAAGAAAGTCGAGTTGATGAGGGCGGAAGATAGAGATGAGTAATAAAAAAATGAAAGCTTGATTTGTACAACCTCATCTTCTGGCATCAGAGGAAGCTGGAAAAAATAATAAGAAGCTTCTTCGTGCATCCCCAAGGATTATTTAAACCAATCCCGGCTAATTTGCAAACCTCTCAAATTCGCCATTTAATTGTCTCCATCTCCGTTTCTGTGGAATTATTTCTACAATAAACTCGAGTTAAGCGTGCTCAGCTCATACACTTTAATCATGTATAATATTATAAATAATAATGATAATAATAATTACAATAGTAATGAATGCATTTATTCAAATGAAGGGAGTCAATAAAATAAATTGTCGATTATTTACTACAAAAGTAATAATTTTAGAGAACCGGTGTAAATAATTCTGCAAACAGAAATCGCATCCGGAGTCTCCCTAACCATCTGGAGCGTATTGAAATATATATTATTATACATTGTTACATATCTGACGTTTTTGACGTCCGGCGAGACGTGGAAATAGAGGACAGTTAGGCATAGGCCTATATCCTTACCGGCACGGGAGATACGAATAGTATAGTGACCGAGAGAAAAGACAGACAAACTCGCTCACGTTGCCAGCAGAGCTATTATTCAGGAACTTTGGTGACAGCTCTCCGGATAGCGAGATAAGAACCTTCTATGAATACTCAATGCTCGATGTTGACAATGAAAACTCTTGTCAGGTTATATGTCCTGCATCATCTTTTGCTCCTTCAGGACTTTGATGACTAATAATAAATTTAACTCGTTATAATAATATTACTATTATCATTTTGACTTTAAAACTTTCGGTAATTATTATCTTTATTATTATTTTCATTTTATTTATGGATTAATAAAAATAAGTGAGCGACATAGCACAAAAAAGTTTTCTTCCAGATAAGGACTCGTCGAGCGACTGAATAAGAGAATGCGTGTGGTAAAATGGATCCTTGTAAGACGTTTTAATTGGACAAATCCGCCTATCCTCATTAAATCCGTCTCCGCGATGCTTTTATGCTTCAACTATATACCAGAACACTCTTTGGGTATTCGTCAAGCCCTTATATAGGACTATATCCTTGTCATATTTGTGTTATTCCTACTTATATTAGTTTAGTACTGCGCAAGTTGAATTTAAAACTCCAATCCTGTACAATACAATCTTACGGTACGAAATATAAATCGGTAAACTTTTCCTGCCCACTTCTATCTGTCCTTTGTCGATTTTCCTCTAATCCCTTTGTCGATTTATCGCTCATACTCCTAAAAATTTAAAGAGACGCATTTTTATCCTCCGCTACTATACGCTGACTTTCTGCAAAATCTGAATAATAATAAATAATAAAGAATAAATGTAAGGGAGAGTCGAGCATAGACAAGGAAATTTGATTATGTTTGATAGCGAGATTTCAACGGCCTTTTGTCGTCGACGTTTAGTCGGTGAGTTAGGGCTGACTAGATGACAGTTAAATATGTATTTACACACACATATACACTCGTACACATGCAAAGAGTGTAACTATACGTTATACGTCCAACTAAAGGCCGACTAGACTACTGTCTTTAGGTCTTATCTCAGATAGATTTTCCTCGGATGCGTATAGATATTGTATATAGTCAGTTACTCACTAGAGTTTGTCTATTGTTTATAGAACATCGTACGTCGTATGAGAGACAGGTGTGCACATATATATACATATATTTATATAGAATACAGATATAATATGTGTTCCTTCTCACAGCCAACTCATAGTTTTCGTATCTATGATTCAACACTTCAGTGTTTAGTTTTCTCAGTGTCACAACTGTATCATCCATGTCTATTTATTCCGGCTGTCTCCTGAGGAAGTGTCACGTGCTGATAAATAGACAAAGTAATTGGGACAAATGATAAAAAATGTATAAGAAATTAATTTTTTTTTTCAACACAAATACAATAAATAATAAATTCACAAAATTAATGCGATGAATTTATTTTATTTGATAATTATTTACACTTCGCGTTTTTATCTGTGATATTATATTATGCATATATACATTGAATTTATAACTTTTGATTTATTTTTATTTTTATTTGTATATATAGTTGTTGTATAATATAATAATCACAATAATGCTAATTAATAAATGCTAGTAACGACATATTAATGATAACGAGCAGTGCTAACGTAATTACAATTAAATTACAGCCTCATTATTATTATTACAATTAATAATTAATTAATTACATATAATTAACGACAAATTTTTTAATTGTTTAACTTGATTAAATTAATTCATTTATCAGTATTTTTTAAACTTTGCGTTATTACAATCTTTGTAGGACTAGGTTACCTATATGAGAGTAATCACCCTCTATAATCTCACTTTTAAATTTTATTTTTTTTTTTTATATTGGATTTAATTATTAAGGTAGTACTGTCGGTTTTTGTAAATTTAATATTTTCACTTGGATTACATAAAATCATAGTTTTTTTTTTAAATTATATTTCTCAATAATTATCGTTCATATTTATGTGAAGTATAGAAGACTATCAGTTAAAATAAACATAAAAAATGTACGTCTTTTTTTCTTTAAAATGATTTTACTCAGTAGTATAATTTCGTAATTGTTGAACGAGAATGTATATAACTATTACATGTGGATCTAGCGTACCGACAGTAGTACCTTCAATAATTAATAATTTCATAATTCAAAGTGTATGATTTATCATTCGAGTACTACTTGATTAAAATAAATTTCTTAAAAATAAAAACAAAAATTAATCTGCGTGGGCATAAGGATGCGGCTGAGGTGATTCGCCTTCAAATAATGCCATTTTAAGGCGCTTGCACTTGGCCCGGCGGTTCTTGAACCAGAATTGCACGTTCTTTGGCTCGAGTCGTGGAAATTTTTGACGATATGGCATTCTATTTAATTCCTCTGTATATTTTAATATCAGCTATAAAAATAATTTCAGTGTTTAAGTAGAATAAAATTTTAATTATAAATTAATTGATTAAATAAATAACTGAGAGTGAATAATTACCGCGTGACTGGGATGAGTGTTGTGGCCAAACCAATTCTCAAGGCGGGGAACTTCAGTGACGGGATCAATGAATGTTCTGTTTCTCTTCCTTCGTTCGTCGAGAAGACTCGTAGGACAGCTAGCGGGTCCACCGCGGGTTGGAAGGTAGTGAGACATGTACATGATACTGTGGCTGAACATCGGGCTAGGCACCAAAGAGAACCCCGGAGGGATCGGAGTCGTTGGAACTCCGGGAGGCGAATCTTCGTCGTCAGAACCTGATGAGACTCGCATCGCGGAATCTTCCTCGCGCTTCACGACTGGAGTGGATGTTGCTGTTGCTACGGGGGTCGGTGTTGACGTTGGTATCACTAGCCGGTCTTCTGATCGAGTTGTCAGAGACAGGGGGCCTACTACTGGTGGACTACCTGCCAGGCATGGCGATTCTGAGTTTAACTGTGAATAAAACTGATTTTAGATTTTTTTTTTTAAATAAAAAAATTTATTCTAAAATATTATTCATGCTATTTAAAAAGAAAAAAAAATTTTTTACATTTTTTGTAATAATTTTTTCGTTATTTAATTAAATTCATAAGATTTCTTCAATTTAAAAAAATTGCATTTAAGATAGTGCAAAAAAAGTCTTTTAAATGTAATTTAATTTAATTATTTAATCAATTACAAGTCAATATTTAATTATGAATTTTTCCGAATCAATAATGAAAACTTTTTTTCAGTAAAAATTATTATTACCTGATGTCTAGAATCATCTTCTTCATCAGAGCAGTCTTCACTAACAATGCTAGCACCACGTGGACTGAGTCCTGGTGGACTGTACCCATTGATTCCTCTGTTCTCAGCCCTTTTTTGAGCAGCCCTCGCATTCTTGAACCAGTATACAACGTTGTTGACGTCCAAAGGCTTTCGCCCGCGACGCGACTCCAGTGAGTTCAACTCCGTGACGTATCGCTGTATTTGCTGTCGGGAGGGATGCTGGTTTTCCGCAAACCACCGTTGCAGTCTCGGGAGCTCCAATTCGGGGTCGAAACTCGTCCGCATTCGCGTTTTGTGTGAATAGGGGAGCATCGCGGGGTGGTGTCCGTGCGAGTGGGGCGGGCCCACGCCTCCCCCGGTGTCCAGAGGACTCTGATTGTGCAATTGTCGGTTGTTATTGCAGCTGGAAAGTAAAGAGTTGGCTGGTGGAGGTCCTAGAGCTAGTGAATGTTGCTGCTGGAACCATGATAGAAAAACTCGACGAGTTTCTTCTGATATCTCGCTGCTACCGCGGACTAGCGACGCTAGTGTCCTCTAGAAAAATATTTCATTTTAAAATGTGTAATTATAAATTTTTAATTGTAAGAAGCTTTTATCATATCAATATAATTTAATTTTTATCGTAAAGACTTTTAAATTGTTTAAGGCAAAATTTATGTATAAGGCGGAATCATGCACTGATAGAAAAATTAATTTGACTTGAAAAAGAATTTTTAACAAAAAAAAAAATGATAAAAATTTTGATGAATTTTCCTTTTCTAAATCAAAGAGAAACAATTCTTAAAAATTATTGTAATTTTTTTGATAAATTACATATCTCTTGATTTAAGTTAATTTTTATGTTCTTGTAAGTATTTTATATTATAAAAAAAAAATTTCCAATTTAAAGAGCATTATAAAAGTGGCAAAATAAAAAATTATAGCCTTCAGCTCCATTATTAAATATAATATATTTAATAAAAAGTATTTGTCCTTAAAATCTCATAAAGCAAACAGAAAATAAATAAAAAGCGTTATAAAGATTTAGTAAAATGACAATGGAGACAAGTGACAAGCTTCGAGATAATGATTTGTCACAGGATTATGGAAAAGTTTTATTCGTTTGACTAGCGACGGCTGCGTAACCTTATCATCGTGATTTACAAGAACAAATAGTTATACGCCAGTGGGATTAAACCTGACGCCTCTTAATGAGGTAATCTTTGGATCTGTATCTCCTCGGTAGCACGTCTTCTTCTTTCACTCCCCACATTAACATCTTCATTCGTAATATAATACAATTCAAAAATAAAATAAAATATAATAATTGTAGACTAAATACAACGATATAATTCAGAATGTTTTACGAGCTCTCGTTAATCATTTTGCAGTGTAAATTTAAAGCCGGCTGCCCTCTACATTGTCTTAACTAATATTACAATTATAATTGTCACGGCTATTTTTTAAATAACTAAGTGCCGTATCTCAAAAAATAACTTTGTAAACAGTGGTACCACGACGCTCGAGACGTAACGGCTTATCTCACAATTATTTCAGCCTGATTTACTACATTACATACTATTGTTATCATTATCGTCAACTCTCTTCGTCAAACAATTTTTACAAAAAGAAAAAGTCATTCTAACAACCAATAAATTACGCTTTAAATCTAAATCAAACTACACTGGATTTATATAATTTAAGAGCTCGACCGGGGAAAAAGCGCTGAGTACATAAAAAACTTTAAGTTATGAGGCCAAGTCCTTCGCCGAATACTTTGCAAATAAATAAGACTAGTCTGCATACACTAATTGATAATAATGTGTTCTTCATATCAGGATTTAATAAAACCAGATTTACGTATACAGAGCTCCTGAGATTTATTGATTCTTTTTTTGCTTTGCCGTAATTTTTTTTTTAAATTTCTAGTTTCAAAAAAAATTTCTTTTCTTATTTTTTTTTATGATAATTAATTTGTTCGTAAAATTTTAAAAATTGTCAGACATTTGTTGAAGTCAGTATTATCCAAGGCACAAGCTGAATATTATTATAAATTATTATTTTCATAATTAGTACAAAATTTGAGTAATTAATAGACTGAAGGATAAATCGAATTTATTCATTAATTATAAATATGAATAGAAAGATTAAACAACTAATCATAATTTATAATCTTAAACGTTTTAATAATTTGTAATTGGTACATAATTCTTCCTACAACAGTACGTTAGTTATGTTGCTAAAAATGAGCACTCAAATCATCAAGGGAGAAGAGTAGAACATTGGAGCGACGTACTCTACGTAAAGAGTAAGAGAAAATTGGTAATCATAGACCAACCTGAGCGGCATTAAAGTTAGTGATAAGGTGGGGAGATCTTCAAAGAGGTGCACTTAGATAATGCTCAAGTCGAAGGGGGTTTTTCAGGGCACTATGTACTATATATCTTTATACCCTTTACTGTTACTCCCCAAAGCTCGGCTCCTAGGCCACTCCGCCCATTACCCGTGGGCTCGATCTCCTCATACCATTATGCCCGGTAGAGCTAGTGGTATAGTCATATATAGTCGTATAGGGGCTTTTGATGAAGGCTGCCACGAATTTGCTTTACTTGAGTAAAGGGTAATCCTATCATACGCTCCGGCTATGAGATCTTCCGTATTCACGGGGGCGATACGACGTCTTACACTGACGTTGTATCCAAACGTAAAATACGTCCAGATATACATTATAGAGGTGAAGAAAAGGATGGCTGGAGAAGAAATAGATTTGTTAAGATTGATTTTTTAGATCATTTTTTCATTCAGTTGAGAATCGAACATTTTAAAGAGTTAATTTTTATATCAATATCTAAAAACTTTTACAAAAAATTTAATTCTATAGAGAATCAGCGTAAGAATTTTTTTTTAATTAAATAAAAATTTTAAATTTTTTGAAAAATAATTTCATCATTCACAAATCTATTTTAAATTTTTTCCAACAAATAGTCTTGCTATTATCATGCAGCTGTGTATTTTTTAGCGAAAAATAAAAATCTAAGCTAAGAAATCCTTAGTAAAAATATTTTACTCCACTGAAAGCAAAAGAATTAAGCGGTAGAATTAGCTGATAAAAGGAAGAAGGAGCCATTTAAGTTAATTTAGTGATGTGATGATGGAAAAGGTGACGAAGCATCTGAGGATTAACAAGTCTGGTGAAAAATTATACAAGAAGGACTTGTTAATGAGATTATAAGTCGGCAGTAATGGGAAACACTGAGTACTATAGTGTATTTGCATTCCTCCGAATTAGAGGTTTCGCTAATGGGTGATTTTTCAACCAGGGATAAATAAGCTAGCAAAAAGTATTATTAAAATTACCTCGTCGAGAGGGCAGCCCGCGGAGGCAAGTAATGCGTGGCTGTGGAGTATCAGCAGCCCCAGAAGTTTCTCTTTGACTTCCGCGGCCGGACTCGCAGGTGGAGGCTGGGACCTCAAAATCTGGATCCTCAAAGTCGCGACGGTTGTTAACTCAGCCAGAATTTCCGCGACAGACCGTGTTGGCTCGTCAGCAACCTTCTCCATCGGTAATGGTCGCCAGTTTTTTACGATTATGCTCCCTCGGGCGCTTGGTATCATCTCAGCGGGGTAGCCCAGACGGACTAGAGCCTCACCTACTAGATCCTGGAATAATTAAAATTTTTTTTTATTTTTTAATATTCATGCATCGATAATTATTATTATTATTATTATTAATGATTATAATTAATCGTACCTGAAATGGCACAGATGCTGGAATAATGACGTAAGTGTCGATCTCTACGTGAGGACTCGGCCACTTTTCTCGTAAATTTACGCGGTTGTCAACAATACTGTGAATTGCTTCGACTATACAGTGCACGGGTACCGGGCTTTTACCTAAACCAAACAAAAAAAAAAAATTAAAAATAGAAGATGTGAATAAATAATAAAGTGCTTTGTAGGCACTGAAAAAAATGAACCCGATTTATGGAAAAAATTCTTGAATTGAGAAAATTTTATTCTTAAATCAAGTTAATTTTTTTTCAGCATATAAAATAAAATTTTTGTTTGTAAACAATTGACTATCTTGAGCTCACAGAATTTATCAGTATATATACAAATAAAAGCAATGATTAGAATAATTATGGGATAATTTAAACAGGCGAAAAGTGAGATGATGGAATGATAAAGCTCGAGATCTGGTGAAGCTCTGTTGAGATTTCTGGTGGTTCTTACTCAGGCTCGAGTAAGTAAATTCGCTATAAATGTGTAACCCTCATGTTAAAACGTATGCAGATCCACTCGTCGGTTAGGCGAGAGCGCAAAATACGGATCGCGAAACAATGGGAGGTAAGCGGCCGGTACAATGAACACGATCCTTATTTAACCCTGACTTGAGTTTATATCCCACTCTAACTTGGACGAGTAGTCGCGTATATATACGCTACAACGGGAATGTCAGCACACCCCTAATCCCAGATTTCTCTTTACGAAGAATGCGAGTAAGTGAGTCACTATATAAGGGAGCGAGAATTACTTAGACAAGGACAGGTGTAAGATTTGGAAGCTGTGAGGGAAACGGAAAGGTAGAGAGAGAAAGGAGTTCCAAGAGATGAAACCAGAACTCTTGAGCTTGAGGAGAATTTTTAAGTTCTATTGATGGTTTCATGCTTTGTTCTATTTTAGTTGTTGGTGAAAACAGTTTTGGTAATATTAGCTTGGAAACTAATTAGTATTAGAGTGATTAGTTTGCGGTAGAAAATCGATTTTGTTCAACGAATTCGTCGTTTTATTAAATATGAATTAACTTTTTGAGAATGGTACTACGTGCGTCAAACAAAGGATTTACGACGTTATACTCTGTGCTCGGAGGATATTAGGTCTTAATGCAACCAGAAGTAGTTGATAGTGAAAGAGCATAGATGTAGAATTAAGGGGCGCTGGCCACGAGAAACTGACCGCTCTGGACTTCAGAGCTCCGACCAAGGGCTACCTTAATCTAGGGATGTACAGTTTTCATTAAGGCAGCTATCGTCAGTACCTAAATTGTCTATTCGGTATTATTAAGTCTTAGCTACCCGTTAATTTCATCTTAAGACAGGTATTATTACCAAAATATTATTTTTATTTTGAAATTTCATTTTTATTGTCTTTTTCGTCAGATTCTAAATTATATAGTTTAATACTTACGTAAAAAGTAGCTTATTTTGACACTGATAAAATTTAATTATTCTTGAGTAAAAACAAAAAAATTAATTTAAAATTATTTTCCGTCATTTTAATGATAGCCTCAAAAATTCAATTTTTCGATATGAATAATTATAAAAGGATATATTTTTAGTGAATTTAAATTGAAAAAGCACTGATCTAAACAAATTTTTTAAAAAATCCGAAATAATAAAATTTTTACCATCGATAAATACCAAAATTTCAAACTGTTTCTCTGTTCTTTTTTTGAAAAGTTACATTTTAGATTTTCTTATCATTTTTGAAAATAAATTTTATAAAAAATCAAAATGATTAAAGATGTCACACTTATAATTTTTCAAGCCTTTCGCATTTTGAAAGCACTTCACATCAAATCAAACTCATTTTTCCAAAGTTTCCGAAATTAACTAACAATTTTAAAATTGACGTAAAAAAATGCACGATCTTAACTGAAAGCACTTCTGAGTGGTTATGAGCAGTTATGAGTATAGTGCAAGCACGTGTTTCAAGAAGTTATGCAGCTCAGGTCCTTTTGAGTTTATGGAGAGGGAAATTTGCGAAAGTAGGGGGCGTAAATTTGACCGACTAACTAATAATCAGGTAAAGCAAATGGGCGTCCCGTTTATACACCAAGAACAAAATAGAACACTAAACAGAAATTTCTTGTAATTGTTAATCCCAACAAATATTTGAAGAGACTAATGTGAAATGTCAGATAAATTTCTGGAAACATCGACTCTGGAACGAAGCTTCGACATAAAGGAAGTCAGAGAAGGTCAATTTATGATGAACAATAAATAGACATAATCCATATGACAGTACAGCACTTCTTATTCAATAATTACTTAAGCTCTATTGAGGATGAAAGATCTCGGATTATTGTTCAATTTTTAGTTAGGCTTAAGTAAGATGTTTTGAAATAAGTGTATAAAAGATTTAGTGTATGACAAATAAATTTTCTTGATTTATGGGTCACAACATTATTTTCGTCTGGTTAGCAGGCTGCAGAAAAATACTGACTGCTAAATATTAGCACTTATCGTTGAGGGAGTTAATTGCATAGATATTATCACGGCTTAAAACGATAGAAGCAAAGAAAATAGTTATAATTAGACTAGCCCTCAAAAGAAGAGGAATATAGCTCAAGTAAATGGTGTAATAGGACAATAATTACATTTTTTGTAGGTTCGAGTCTGCTAAATTGAGATAAATAAATTTTTTTCGTTGAAAAATTTTTATAATTTGTTACTAATTGTTTGTAATATTTTACAGTAATTTTGTTTTAAAGATGAAATATTCATTTTTTGAAAAATTTTTACACGTCTCATTTCTTTATATTTCTTACTGTAGAAAAGTTATGAGAAAATTCCAATATGTTATTGCTCATAAATAAGTAATGTAATAAAGGAGGACTTAATAACTGTAAATTTACAAGCGAGTCGAAAATTAACAAAAAATTTTTGGTTGGATAATAAAATACATTTTTTTTTTATTACTGTCTCCCGTATTATCGCACCAACTACGCCCAATATAATAATTAACGATGGTATACAGCAAAGTTAAGTTTATCATATTTTCAATAAATTCCAAGGTTAAACTTTCGTTTAGACAAATCTTTTAAGAATAATTTTCAGATATTTTACTTTCAAATATTTTTTTCTTATAACTTTCTTTGAACGTTTTCCATCAGTAGAAAAAGAAAAGTAATAATTGTAAAAGTAGTAAATACGGGTCATAAAGCCATTTTGAAGTAGAAAAAAAAAAGTTTTAGGTAGCCTATTTTGTCTGTCTCTTTTTTGTAATAATTAATTTCCGACGCTCAAAGCTGACGGTAATCAAGAAAAAATAGATAAAAGTTTAAATGACAGGAGCTGAAATACTTGGGGAGATTTTCACGTCTTCATTTTTGCGAATATAAGTAAATGTTTTAGAGGGTGTGTATGTGTATATATAGATATATGTGTATATGTACGTTTGCGATGTTATATTATGTTATATTTTATGGGGTTTGGATGTTTTCGTTCTTCTTTGCTAGAAGCCAGCTTATCTTTCGACGAGCACTGTCAAAGACGAAAAGGCGGGCTGACGGTTTCGCGGCGTTTCCGGTACAGGCCAACGGGGGAAGATAACGGAAGTCCGATAGGCAGAGTTGGACCTGTACCAGAAATGAGAAATGTCTTTGGATACTTTTTTTATTTTATTCTTCAGCCAAGTTTACTTTTTTGTTAGAATAAAATCGAGAGCCTTGGTCTTGGGCGATAAATATTTTTAATTATCGGTTTACACTAAAAAAAAAGTTTTATGCAAGGTACGATATAATTTACTATTATAGCAACAAGTATATAGACGGTAGCAATAGTATCGTGCACAATACTCGAATAGATCACATCGGCCGCGATCAAGACTGCTGCAAACAGCAACATGGATCATGTCTATAAGGATACAGTAGATCGCGCCGATTAAAATATTTTTTTTCAGTGTATTTTATGTCAGACAACTTTTTAAACAATTTAATTTTATTCAATTAGTGCTATTAGTAATATAAATAAATTAATACCTTAAGCTTTTAAAAATTTTTTACATTATGTATATTATTAAAGTAATTTTTTCTGAGAATTTGTTTAAAAATTCATAAATATTGAAAACCTTAAAAATTTTCACTGTAATTGAAGTATAATAAAGATGAATATTTTCGCTTTTATCAAATTCTTGATAAAAAATTTATTAAACTCCATCATCATTAGCATCATTACACAAGCATAGATCAAACTTTAACATGAGAGACAGAAGGAAAGTGTAGGCGTTTCCAGTATCTCGAGCTAATCCAACGGATGTCGGTCTTTGCTGATAAGACTAACTTTTTCCAACTTTTTATCTCAAAACCTCTCTCCCTCCTCCCACCCTTTCTTTGTGTTATTTAAAACACAGTGCCTCTCGTTTACACAGAAATATATATCTTTGTCCTCTTATTTTCCTCTCACTAACGAGCTTCGAGCTTATCGAATATTAAACTGCATCCTGGTGGACAAACTTTAATCACTGCTCCAGCAATATTAATAATAATTGTTCTACTATTATTGTTATTATTCTTATTTTTATTACGTTACACAGCAGGACTTAGTTGATATATAATAACGAGCGTTAAGAAGAACATTAGCTGCTAACTCCAGTAGGATTTGCAAGGTTTCGTCGCGTGGCTGGTGATCTTATAAGCCCTCGAAGGTTATCTCATTATGTCTTATCTAGCTGAGGCATTTACGTACACATGAGGGGAAAACAGCAGTTGCTGTGACTTCGGAAGCGGCTTAAAATGCACGCGAACTGCACATAGCACGCAACTAAAGTTATATACATTACTCTAACCCTTTTTGCTTATTTTATTATCATTTCTTATTAAGTTATTATCATTATCGATGAATTTTTACAATTCTTTTGTCAATTTTAACCTACATTTATGATTCCAACGCAGTCAAAAATACTGATGAGGTTTAAGGTGAAGTAAACTTTATGTTACAAACGGATTACATGAAATTAGTGTTGTGTCAACAAATAAGTCATTGATTCCCGGATTAAGCTACTATTATTCTTTTAAATCTTTCTTTTATCCCCTTGTAGAAATTTTGGATTTATATAGATTCACTTTAATCGAGTAATGAATTCTAATCAAAAAAGGGTTTTTATTTAAAAAATAAA